GTTTTAAAGCTTCTACTTGTTTTGTTCTGGTTAACAACAGTAGCCCTCGCCTTGGTTTATATAGTGAACTGATGACGGTAAAAGACATGGTTTCTACCGTTTCTTTTAATCATTTGATAGTTTATGCTAGAATCTTCTCTTCTTCTTTTTCTAACCTACACTAATATTTAATTAGCATTTTTGGGCCAATATCCTTTAGAAGATAATAATTCCCCCATAAAGGGATATACGTAAAAGTAAAGCGTCTAGAAACTCATGATAAACGACTTTCTTTTACCTTTTTAGAATGAATAAAACACCTTTTCGTAAAAGTATACCTTATTCAATTAAAATGTCAAATATTTCTCTAATTTATTCAATCAACTACTTTTATCAATTTTAATAATCTTTAGCGTTACTCAGTATTGATTTCACTGCACAGTGATTGATATTAATGTTGTTGTGACATCATCTCAATTTAAATTTGATATATAGTGTGCATAAGTGTGCTGTATGGTAATTGGTAAATTACTAAATTATGTATAAATCCAAATAAATATATTTAGTTTTACATAATATAAAGGTCGAGGCGCGTGAGAACCATGTTTAATATTTATTATTTTATATCATATCAATGGGTCTTGAAATTCAATAATTTTTGTTACAAACCAAAAATGTAGGATTGCGTCAATTCATGGCATGGCGATGCAATAAATAGTTAAGTTTTGGTCTGTAATGATCGGCCCACTACATTATGAATGTGAAAAAGAAAAAAAAAGATTTAGTACTTTTGCCAAATAAAAGCATACTTTGATTACTTTCTTTAGACATAAAATAAAATAAAAAGGGGAGAAATTTATTGGTCATACACTCATACTTCATGCCCTAGCTGCCTATGGCTATTACTATCGAAAACCATTGATTTTATGTTTCAAAGAAAAAAAACAGAGAGTTATAAAATTACTTAAATATTTTATTGGTGTCGAAAAATTGAAAAATTTATGTCTAGAATATGGAGTAGGTATATAGTTTGGTATTTTTTTATATTAGATATTGGTATGGACATTAATCATTGTGGGGATAATGGCACCTACTACATGAATGAATCCAATCGGATAATGATATACATCATATTTACCGATTTTACTATGTTTTTAATAGGATTTTAATAAATAAATAACTTGGTTTTAACATTTAATTATTAATTTAGTATTTTCATGGGTTATAAAACGGTAATTAGAGAATTTTGAGGTTAAAAAAAAGGTAGAAAAGCTATTTTAAAGAAAGACAGATTCTGCCTGCAAGATATTTTGCCTCGGAGGAAGATGTTCCCACCGTTGGATCGAGCTCAACTTTTGCCTTGAGATAGACGAGGATCGTAGCTTCAAATAGCATATTCGATCGTGGAAATCCGACAATGCATCTGAAGATACGCACAATATACGGAAAACAGATAGATTTCCAAATCTTCGAAGAATATCCCTAAATCTTGTGCGATATACCTAAGACTTCCTCACCTATCTAAACAGAAGGAGGTCACGAAAATCAGCACCACCTTCACAGCCACCACCATAGCTACACGTTTTCTTTTGAGGGAGAGCCTTTGGCTCAAACTCTTTAGTTTTAGGGTCTTTATCGAGTTTTTACGTATTGATCTTCAAGAGAGAAAACCTCCAATATTTGTACCAGCAGAGAGAAGTTTTCTAAATCCTCTTTAGTAATGATTCCACTTACGGACGGATTTCAAGTAGACCATGTAATAAGATCTGCAAATAGTGATATTATTATGATGATGATTGTAGTAGTTTGAAACTCAAGAAAACAAAATTTTAGTATTTCCTACATGTTCTTACCAAAAATTCAGGAAATAACAAATAGTAGTTTTAAACTCTTTTACCAAAAACTCAGCAATTAGTTGCTGGAATGAATGATGTGACATCTCGGTGATTGGAGCATCAAGCATCTCCTGAAATTTCAAGTTTATGGAAAAAGGTATGTGAGGTGTGAATAGTTATAATAAGGACATACCTTTTCGATGGTCCGAGTCAATTCTTGTAAGCTTGGGAGACTAAGGATTCATGCCCGAGTTCAGTAATAATTTATGGAAACATAAAAATGGAAACATGAGTGAAATGAGTGACCAAGTTTCTTTGAGATATCGTACTTGTAATCAGTGTCGTGCCGAGACTTCTAGGAGCCGAGGTAAATTTAAAAATATTGTTTTTACATATGATTTTTTAACCACAAATATAATTTAATTTCAGATGATTGTTAGAATGTCAATAAAAAGTTAATGAGATAAAAATAATAAGCTTTTATTTTAGTATAAAAGTGGTTTTGAATTTGGGATGAGAGTTTCAAAATTTGTTTTTACCATATTTTTATCATTATACTATAATTAATCTTAAAAATATGGGCCCCTAAATTACACAAAATCATCTATGCCCCGAGGTGAATGCCTCTTAAACAACAAAAGAGGCACGTCCTTGCTTGTAATCAATGATGGGACAACGTGATCAGAAAAAGACAGTTTACCAATCCTTTATTGACGTGATCTCGACTTTAAGACTTAGAGCTCTTGCAGTTTCAGATTCTCCCCGCTTAGAAGCAAATATATATACATGACTGCATACATCTTGTCCCTGAAAAACTGGACGCTAAGAGTCAAATTAATAAAATCAGTTTTCAAGGTATAAGAATAAAATAAAACTTATCATTCTCGTTTTACTTGATGGATTATTGCATGAAGTCAAAACAATTCTTACCTATTTAGATAAATTTAAGGTTAATGATAGTCATATCACCTTGTCTTTTTGTTTTGTTTTAACGCATGGTACACATCACAGATTCTTTCCTTGCTCTGTTGCTACTTGATAATCCTTGGTTTGTTTTGCGTTTGGTGAACATCAGTTTCACCAAATCCAACATGTACTGCATGCTTTCGAATAGTAACTTGGCTATCATAAATCAGGATAGGTAGTATAATAGAATATGACATAAGAGCTCACACCTTGACAAAAACAGTCTTTTTCAAATGGCCTGTTTGAATGCATTCCAAGACGAATTTAACCATGAAAAACATGTATGTATGCGCAAGAAAAGTGGATTATCTGCTGGTCCAAAGCATACTCCTTCAGAAATATTGGTTAGTGGAGAACCAATATAAAGTGGCTGAAGAGGAGGCTTCGAAAGGTACTTCTTCTTGGAAAAAATCAGGAGAGAGATTGAGAGTGCATACTTGTATAAGAACTCAAGAACAAAAAGAGTGAGTTAGGAAGAATGTTTACTGTTGCTTCTGAGTAGATTAGGAACAGTCGGATTAACACGAATCTTGTTGTGTAAGATGTCGTGAGTTCTTGGGTAGACTGGGTTGTGTGTTATATCCCATCTTTGTAAGAGTGTATTATCTAGATTTCGTGTAACAGGAGTTGCTTGTAGCAGTGCTACATTTGTGTTAATAAAAGTGTTTTAAGTTTGTCTTAAATACTTCCTATTGGTTCTAGTATATGTGTTTCCTCATTTGGTTATACTACATTTACACTTGGGATGTTGGAGGCCGGGGAGACCATCGAGGTCCAGGAAGTATGAATCAACCGGTTTTTGAGAGCTGATGAACCAGCCAAGAATCTGGACAGTGGCATAA